CGAAATTTCAATTTTCGTTGCCACGTAATGCAAGCAATTACTATGGCAACCGTGACGTTTTTTCGTGACGATTTCTCGTGGCGCGACCTTGAAATTTTACTCTCATGCGTACGAAGAAGTTTCACTTCAAAAATACATAAAAAGTGACGTAGACCAAGGTTGACTTATCTCTATAAGAGATCTCTTCCATTCAAGAGATGGACTAATCCCCATATATGTTGGAAATAGTGTTAAATAAATAACAACAAGTATTTCTTAAAAATCGACTAAAACTAACATACGTGACGTCATATAAAACATATAGTTCCCTCTTTTACTACGCACGAAATAATACGGAGAGAAGAAATTATAGGTTTCCAATATTTTCTTAGGACGACATTATTATTTTGAACTTACAGACATCGTCACGGGCTAAAGCTGGCTAGCGAAATAAATTATCGTCGGGACCTGCCTGTCTGGGGAAAATCAACCCCACCGCAAAACGCAATACCTATTGATGTATTCGTATTTGAAGGGTGGCAAGTGTAATTATGGAGACGGTGTTAGGTATCCAAAGATAGAATTTAATAGAAATCTGGAATTGGGTCTAAAACTAGATTATAAGAAAGCTAATTACAATCATTTCAAGTACTTATACTATCGTCTTGAGAACTAATAACGAATGAGAGGTACAGAAGAAAGAACGAACGAAAATGAAAAGAAGAAAGAGGTAAAACAGAAAGTATGTTCAAAAAAGATATGTATACTTTTAAGGTTTAGTATAGATTTCTTAAAGATGACGTTTTCCCGCAGTAAAAAGTATCCTATATGTTGACCCGGACAACCAGCTATCATCATACCAAATTTCATCAAATATTTCTCTAAGTGGTTTTCTCATGATGCGTTTCCAGACAGATAGACAGATAGACACACAGACAGACAACACAAAAATTCTAAATACATACATAAACAATAGTCTACATTTATTTATATATACGTTATATGTACGGTGTTACGGTAATATATACGGTCTTTGTATAGAAAATAATGAGTATTTCAATAAGATTTTCCAACAAAAATATGTAATTTACAGATTCTTAAGACAACACTTTTAATGATAACAAATGATAAGCTTTCCAAGAGTCATTCTCTTAATACGCTAAGTTACAATTAAGCTTACAATATATCTAGTACTCTACATCATTTGAAGTATACAAATATTGGAATGAAAATGGAGCTGAGTGACATTGCACTCTAAAACTTTAATCATTTATTTTGGACGTAGCAGTTCTATGGCAATTCAAATAGCCGCTTCAAACATTAGAAGCTAAAAATAAATATACGCAAAATTAAATATTTAAAAAGCACACTTTTCCATCTCTCAACGACAATCAACACTAGTAAATTTCAATTCGCTCATATAATTATACTACCCTTACATTCCAACCCTTAAGAGAACAGACAGATGCACATAGCAATGAGATTGCATTAACTCCTCTGGGATGCTGGGCGGACGTGTTGTTTAAGATGGTGGAATTTACTTGTGAATATTTAAAAGTTTTAATCAAAACTTATATCCTAGATATTTAAATAAAACTGAAATATCTAACAAAAATTTTATATAAAACTAGTGATTCACCCTCGCTAAACTGCAGATTCTGCCACTGTATCGATAATAATGACTATTTCAATAAGATTTTCCAAAAAATATTTATTGTACAGATTCGACTCAGTATTTTATTATATGTAATATGTATAGATTATCTTTGCGTGATAATAGCTTACATCATTACTTTATACGTGATCGTAAATAATAATTTGTGTAATCATTTTTATGACATCCAAACAATTGATATTGATTATATGTACTTAATATATATATATATATATATATATATATATATATATATATATATATATATATATATATATATATGTATAACTAATAATAAAATTAAGTTTTAAACTAACGTTAAAATTACTAACTTGATAGATTAATTGATATTCATATAGTGTTATTAGTTAGAAAAATAATTTAAATTCTTATAATTAATACTTTTAATTCAGGTTTTAATGGTATACCACATATCTAACTATACATATAATAAAATTGTAACTAAGCCGAATCTATACATTAAATATTTTTTTAAAAATCTTATTGAAATAAACATTATTATCGATACAGAGGCCGAATCTATAGTTTTTAGAATTTTTGTCTGTCTGTCTGTTACCGCATCACAGAAAAACCACTGGAGCGATTATGATGAAATTTGGTATGGTGATAGCTGGTTATCCGGGTCAACATATAGGATACTTTTTACCGCGGGCAAATGTCTCATTTCTGAGAAAAAATACAAAAACTGCAATTTAAGAGTATAGTAATATGTAAAACCTAAGAATTTGGTTATTGGTCATCTAAACGCGGGCGGAGCCGCGGGCAATGCTAGTATTATATATATAACAAAGTCGGGTTAGTTACACCTTTTATAAGTCAAGAAAGGCTGGACCGATTTTTATGATCTTTGATTTGTTGGATTTTTCTCCGCGCCGAATAGCAGAATAACTATTAAAACATCGAAAAAATACACTAAAAAAAGTTCCCATACGATCGAAGCGACAGTAAGTCGCTAGTATGTAATATAATTAAAATTTTCAATATCACCGGCCAATCTCCAATGTGACATTAGCGAAAAATTTGTGCTCAACTAGCGTGCATAGAAGCCATAAAATAGATACTTGAATTGAATAACCCAACAAAGTTTGAAATTCTTTATAAAAAATCAATCTTCTAATATATAAATATCACGGTGTTTGTGGGTCGCACTCCTCCGAAACGGCTCGACCGATTTTAATATTTTTCTTATATATTTGGTAGATATGAGAATATGTCATAAAGTATTTTTCAACCTCCTACCCCCACTTCCTTGTATGAACAATTTTATATGGCAGAACGACGTTTGCCGGATCAGCTAGTATTATATAAATAAATGTGAAAAGTAATAAATAAATATATGTTTGTATTAAAAATACTATTCAGAAAAACTAAAAAATAACATCTATACATAAAATTCTTTCATACTAAAATTTTCCATCTCACTTCTAATCGAAATCCACAAACGATACAATAAATAATGTCGCTTTTTAATTTCATAGAGTCATAAAGAACTGAAAATGAATGTGAAACCGCTTGATTATTCCATCGAATCCTAAACAAAATCCTCTTAAAAAAACGTGGATTTTAACTAAAACGTCATACCAATCAAAGCCCAATCTATTGCTGGGCGAGACAAATGAAACATAGTCGTCAATCCCAGACCTTATGTCATAGCAATAAAGGCTACAGTGTTAGAGCAATAATACATTTGTGCAAGTGCAGCCATAGGAAGGGGGGATGTTAACCCCCCAAGGGGTGCGTCGGTTGCCCGGATACCAGCTCGGCCCGGGCTAGACGTCAGTAAACATGGAGGCTGGAATCAATCAAAATTGCTCCTTAACACGCAAGCATAACGCGCTTTTTGCATTGCTTTAAACATAATCTGTTATTTATCAAGCGATTTTAAACTCTATTTCACATTAAAATATGATTAAATTTTAAATGTTATATATAAATTAGCGATGTATGTATATGCTTGAAGCGCTAATTCGCTTATTCTTAAGTGTATGACAGGATGTAAAAATGTCTTTATGTAGTTGTAATATGGTTCACATTTCTTTGTAACAAGGACAGTCCGCTCAGGTGGTTAGATTTTAGATTTATTATAGCAAAGTGAGTAATCTGTATTGTTTTATGGAGCCAAAGCTAGGGCATTTAGACGGGACAGGGGTAATGAAATATTATATTAAAATTCATCATAATGGCTTATAAGCATTCATGCGTGTCCGATTTGGATTGCAAGTAAATTAATTGAATGGGCGTACAATATATATTCATGTATACTATAAAACTAACGATTTATCCCCGCTTTGCTCGGGTGTTTCCATAATTTTATTTTTATATTAGTACGTAGGTGACTGAACTTCACTCGACGTTTTTCGGAAAAGATATAAAAATTGAGATATGTACGTAACTACGCACATACATATTTTATATACATACATACAGACATACATGTGCACTTGTGCACGTTTGACTCGTTTGTAGTGACTCTACTTGCTGTGCCAGCAGTCGCGGGTTCGATTCCCGAGTTTGTACTCCAGTCATGGGTGTTTATATTTATAATATATATGTATTTAAAGTTATATATGTGTAGTGTTTCAACTATCTGCAACACAAGCCTCGTAGCTTAACCATGGAACTAGATGGTGCTGTGTGTTTAATTATTTATATATACAAGAATAGCTCATTTAATATTATAGATAAACAGGTAGCGTCACCCTTTGGCACATTTTATTACAAATTGTAGTCCATATAGGTCTCCAGCTGCGGTTGCGTAAAATTTCATCAAAATCAGTCCAGTGACTTCAACGTGAAAGTTCACACAAACTTTCATATTTGTGATATGTATGATGTATCTTTACATTTCATGTATAATTAATTATAACATAACTAATTTTCTGTTACACTCGATAAGATTTTCATGCGACTATAAAATAAATAATAATTGTTAAGCTGGCTGGAAATGACATGGCCATTTCCCAATAACTTTTAGTACCTAGAAAATTGCGTAATAGATTATCAAAAACTTGCTTTTCGTACGGCTTCACTTGTAATTGCCTTGACAAAACCAACGTATATAACTATATAGAGATATTTCTATATCCAGTAGATAAAAATGATTAACTATATCCAAACTTTATATCCTAAATAAAAATTAATAAACTGATTATATATTAGAGGTAGTGATAGCCCAATAGTAATACGCTCACTGTGGAAACCGAGTGCAGCGGGTTCAAATCCCGGGTCTTGCATCTATATTCATATATATTCTTTATAGAAGCAAGCAGTGTATTTTGTATTACATTTTTTTCTATATAGGGATATTTTATTTTCTTTTGGGTACTCAAGAGTTAGGTATTCTCTAGGGCCTCTCAATTGAGTTCCTAGGGCCTACTGTTTAATATTTATATACATACTAATATTATAAATGTGAAAGTATGTTTGGTTGTTTGTTTGTTTGTCCTTCTTTCACGTGAAAATGGAATGATGGATTGGCGTGTTTTTTGTCTTAAGATAGGTAGAGCGCTGGAGAGTGACATAGACTACTTTTTACCGCGGGAGATTATCTAGGTACTTCCCACGGTGAAACACGTTGTAACACAACCGAACAAAATATTTATGATCAGAATTACTTAAAACTTGGTAGTAATGCTCTTCAAAACAATTAAATAAATATGTGTTGTAGCATTTTTTGAAATTAACACTCATAAAGGGGTAAAATAGGGCATGAAAGTTTGTATGAAGCCTACCTTTTTAGAGTTTTTTTTGTAGTTTTAGCGCAAGCGAAGCCGCGGGTTCTGCTAGTATATCCTCCTGGGACCCAAACAATAAATTATTAAATTTAAGCAATGTTCTTCTATTTACTGGAATATTCGACGTTAGAATAATGCAAAAGTATCGATAAAATGTTACACAAATATCTATTTCAGGATTTTCAGGTGGTATCATATATGATACTTTGGGACACAAAAGAAAAAATACTATGTTATTTCAATACTAACACTATATTTCAAAATCAGTATAAATTTTACATTTAATGCTCATGAAAAGTTTTATAACAATTCCTAGTTGAATTAAAACATAAATATACCTCACACTCCTGACATTTTATAAAAGTCAAAGCCTTACAACCTGGTAATCTGCATTTAGACCGGTTTTTATCTGTTCGTGTCATATCCTCTGGCAGATGAGATGCCTGTTTCTTTTTTTCTTCGTGTGGAAGGGCTGTTACAATGCGTCTTTTCAGAGACCTGGTGAATGAAGTTGTTGGACTATGCCTTGGGCTAAGCCTTTCAGCATGAGGGTTTTGAGGGTTCTTATTTTGGGAGGCGTAAATTAAAGTTTTTGCCAGCTCCATTTTGAAATCAAAGTACTGACACGGTTTTTCACCTAGGGCTTTGGCGTCTCGGCGGTATTCTATCCAAGAAGCAGCAGCTGCAAAATCTACAAAATGAAAAATTGCCCTCACAGTCCACTTTCCAGTTCTACCCCTCATCGCGTATTTCCCGATAACCCTATCTAGCAAGTCTATCCCTCCCATGAAAGAGTTGTAAAGTTTTATTGAAGCTGGCCTTGTTACATCAATGTATTTTTTTTGTTCTTTACTCCAACGTCTACAGGTATCTTCAGGGTGTACTGCATTCTCTGTAGATGCGACAAAGATTGGTTTGTTATCAAACCACTTTACAACAGCCACTTTTTCATCACCACGTACAATACAATCATAAGAACCACGTCCCAGTTTTCTTAGCATGTTATCTGATTTCAAATAATCTGTTTTATCTTTCACTGATTTACCTTTCTTGTATACAGTTCTTTCCTTCTTTGGTACCTTATTTTTCATTAAAATGCCCGTTCCATTACATCCTCTTTCCTTTACGACATCCAAAAGTGGTATAGAGGTAAAATAACGATCCATGTAAATTGAAGTGCCTACTGGTAGGGTATCCTGCAACTTCAGTACCATTCTTCCACCTACATTTAATTTTTCAGGTATTGGGTATAAAGCCGATTCCACTGAAGATCCTTTACCTTCATACAGGTATAAATCCAATGGTAAACCGTCAGAATTCGCCGCGATAAAAATTTTTATCCCTTCCGGATTTGGCTTACCTTTAACCAGCTGCTTTTTGACACATCTTCCTGTGTAAGGCAAGATCTGCTCATCGATGGAGACATTTTTGTCGCGAATATTTTCACGACATGCTCTTTCAATTTCTAAAACTATTGGTCGTATTTTCCAAAAGCAGTCAGTAGATCGTGTAGATTCTAGAACTTCAGCGTCATTGACGACTTTTAAGCGCGAACGAATCTCAGTATAACGATTTCTAGTCATTGCAGTTGCCACTAAGTTGCATGATGTTTCTAAAGCCCAGTATTGTTTTATTCTTGGCATACCTAACAGTCCAATAATCATGCTACATCCAAAAAAACGTTGAATTTCTGCAGCAGTAGTATTTACTGATTTCTCTGTGCGCGTAAAAGACATAACATTTGTAAAAAAAGCCATGTTCGTAAAGAATTCAGCATTCAAGTACCGCTCAAAATATTCCACTGGTTTTTTAGTATCACGCTTCTGGTTGTTCTCTGAGAGGTTCACTGCACCTGATGTTGATGCGATAGATACTGGTCTAAAATCAGTCGTATGCTTCCAAATTATTGGCCTACCTGTAGGAACATGTTTCGTTGAATGGGACAGTTGTTGAAGCGGCTCATCATCAGAGGAATCCCAATCACTATTTGGTTCTTGCAAACTTAACTGTTCCTCGATATTTTCAATGCCCTGGTTTTGTATATCATCCTCTTCCACGTCAGAGTCCTTCTCTTCACAATCGGAGACGTTGAAGTCCAATAACGCATTGTGAATTGCCTCGTCAGACAAACCTGAAATCATTGTAAATAATTAATATTATTTTCTATAGTGCCCAAAGTATCACATTTGATATGCTCAATTTATCGTATGATATTCACGTTAAAATTAAATGTTACGTTATTTAAATTATGGAAAATACAAAAAAGAGAATGTAACATGTATACAACAATTTTAAACTACTTAGAAATCCATAATTTAATAATACTTACCCTTACGTGAAGTTGACATGGCGAAAACTTCGAATTTGCGAGAAATAATTGTTCTACCCACTTAAACCTTAACAACTTTGAATGACGAAAGTTGTGGGTATACATTGCTCAAAATCTACTCTATGGCTTAAATAAAAAAGATTTAGAATAACATAACAGATGGCACTGTCACGAAGTTTCTACTACAAGTATCAAATATGATACCCTGGTTCCCAAGAGGATATAATACTTTCAAATATACTTTTTCTACATACACATGGTAGAAAAGTCTTGACACACATAATTATGAAATGACAAAGTCCACATCACGTGTAAATAAGCCCTATTTGAAAATAGACCAAACTTTACTTCTGCGTAATCTTTTAGGTCAATAGTCAGCCAAAACTAGTCAAAAATTTAAATAAAATTCAACTTTATGCCAAAGGAATAAGATTTAAAATGTTCACTCACGTAATACGGTACAGGCCTCGTTAGACTTAAAAACCCACTGAGTACCCGAGAACACTTGACAACTGGCAGTATTTCGCACTTTTGAAGTTCCAAAAACTTTATTTTTTATTTATTTAATTACCGTTTATCCTGTAGTGTCGTTTACGGAGCTACATGAACTTCATCATTACCTAGTCAAAGGATTCGATTTCCGATCGAGGTAAAAATAAAAAATACAATAATATTCAGCATGAATTAGCCCTAAATAGAATCATAGAAAACAGATATATCTGTATTAATAAATTTTTCATAAAGAAAGAAAAAACAAAATTTAGAATACAATAGATATAAACTTTTACCGTCAGCGGTAATCAAACCCGGTCCACCACAAACTAAACGAACTTATACTAAGAGTTCTTTAATAAAAGAATCCAATAACTTTTACATTCACCGAAATTCAAACCCAGTACCTATACACTAGTCAGACCAACGAGTCAAAAATCATAACACATATTATGTATGTATCATTACATACATATTATAAATCTCGTACACCCTTTTATTCATAAGCATACAACACATAAAAATTTCGACTTTGCTGTGATAAAGCACGTTTATTTCAAATACACAGCGTCACAAATATATCATTTTTATCACTTTACGACCTCAGACTAAGGAATAATGTAGATAGTGTCATAAAACTAAATATGTAACCAAACAATTTTTTTTAAATAGTATAGAGTTACAAAAAAATATAAAATCCCATTACTATAGTAAGCAAATAAATGTTAATAAATAAAAATAGCTAACAGATTTTATTATAATAAAGAAAAAAATTAAATAAACTAACATTTTGCTATCTCTCTTTCAAAGGGAAGAGAGCTAATGCTTAAAGAATATTTTTACTATTCATATTTTCTTCTTATTCTTTAAATATAGTGAAGGATTTGTATATTAAAATTGATAGAAGTAATGAAAGATCACCAACTTAAAGTTACTGAGCATTTAGTGGCGGAAAAATCAAATTACTTTACTTAGCCCGACCAAAGATTCAAACTCAAGATTTTCAGATGAACAATAGACATGTTAACTGTTGGACCAACGAGGTATTTAAATTAAATAAGCCCATACATCAGCAAAGATAGTCTAAAACAGTCGTCACAAAATACTGTATTAAATTTAATATAACTAGGTAATTAAACCCTTTATTTATGAAAGGAAAAGGTTTTAATATGATTTAAAAGCAACTCTGCTTGGCTTTGATAAACATCATAGCAATCAATTTCACCGAAGACTCACTAATTGATGTCAAACGGGAAGAAAGTCCAAGCAAATATTGAAATCGATAGGAATTAACATTGAAAGCAGTTTGGGCTTAGATATGATGTCTTTCTACGTATAATCGTTAAATAAAATTTTCAATTCAATTCAATTTTCTTGTTAATGGCTTCAAAACGTGCCAGTGGGGAACAGATCACTTCGCCAATGTCACGTAGAATGGAGAAGACGCGAAGGAGATTTTTGATATCTAAAAACAAAGTAAGATGATGGGATGACTTAGGATTTAGTCCAGTTTCCATTAAAATAAACTTCGTAATAAAAAATAAATAATAAACCATCATTATTTTCATTACATACATCAATGTCTTTATTTATTGATATTTGACCAACTTTAAAAAAGAGAAGGAATCTATTCGTTTGGGTTTTTAACCCCCGACGCAAAAAGAGGTGTTATAAGTTTGACGTGTTGTTTGTAAAAAACTAAATCTTAAAGTTCCTCTTAAGTATGTATTAATAATTCTAAAAAAAAATACGTCGTGTTGGTGGACCGGGCATTCATTTGTGTGATAAGCACGAATGCTTGTACTCCAGTAATAGGTGTTTATGTTCATAATATGTATGTATTTATAGTTAGGTATATATATATATTATATATATATATATATATAATAGTATAATACTTTATATATACTATGATTTAGAATAATCTATAACATATTCTTGTTAAAACATAATTTTGAGATATAATTAGCTAAATTAATTAATTAAATCTACAGCATCCATCCCACGAACTTAAGATTGCCAATTAGGCACTAAGAAAGCGGCGGCATAAGTAAATCTGACAGAAACGTCTCAGAAAGAAATCTTAGGTGAAAATTAGTTCTTTAATTAAAATCTCGAAATGAAACTTTTTCAAATGTAACAAGATGGAGACAACAAACTCCCCTATAATTACAATTTTAATATTACTTGTTGCTCACCACAAAAATACAGAAACGTTGTTAATGTTTTACGATGAACAAAATGGCGTCGAACGTAGAAAACTTCGCAAGGATCCCCGGAAACGCTGATCAGAAGATAATAAACTTTATTTATATTGCATTAAGGTCGTATTTGATTGCATATAAAGTTTGTTTTCTGTACTTTATGAGATTCGTGGAATATAGCCTTTAATAGCCCGTCTGGGGCTTTTCTCGTAACTTCCACTCATAAAACGGAACCCGTACTTTTCTAATTTTCGAGGTCTGTCAAATACCAGTTCGCAGGAACTTTGCGACACTTTATAAAGTGACAAAAATACAAAACATTGTAATTGGATAACTTATCACCTATATTTTTGGTATACAAAGACTGTGAAACTAAAAATCACACTATTGGATTGTCTAAGTTGCTTTAAATTTTAATGAAAGAAGCGAATTATTTGATGATTAATAACAAAATAGTAATAAAACACATGAATTTTCGTCAAAAATTACTATGACCTTCAAAAAATAGTATGCATACAAAAGCATGACGACACGTTTGGCTCAGTTTATAGTGACCCTAATTGCTGTGCCAGCGGTCGTGGGTTCGAGTCCCGCTGACGGCATTCATTTGTGTGATGAACACGAATGTTTGTACTCCAGCATGGGTGTTTATATTTATAATATGTATGTATTTAAAGCCACATATAAAAACATAGTGTATCAACTATCTAGTATCCATAACACAAGCCTCGTAGCTTACTATGGAACGAGATGATGCTGTGTGTTTATTGGCCCAACATATTTAAAAGACTTATTGTACTACAAATAATAAATACTGATAAAATGTATTAACATTCCAATAATACAATAGGAACGCGCGATTCGATTTATCTCGATTGGATACTCCACTTGTCTTTATCCTAGACATTTCGCGCTTCGCCCTGAAGTAAGCGACAGGCTGACCAATTACCGTCATTTATCACAATGTCCGGGCACA